ATGGATTAAAATATATGTTTATGCTTTAATGAAGGCGTGGCTGGCCAGAGTCATCTAATACTTGGGAACCTGTGGAGAATCTCATGTCATGTTCTGATTTCATTGATGCATTTGAAGAGAGGTTTTCCTTTTATTCCTCCATATTTCTTTTTCTATTAACTAATTTCAATTGGACAAAAGTTTGTCTTGTGTGCCACGAACCAGATCTTATCCTGTCATGTCCTGTCCTGTCCTCTGTCTGTTGTCTTGCACTTGACATTACAACTTGTACTGTCTTGTGTTGTCCTGTGTCTTGTCCTGAATGACAGACTGTCTTATTAATGTTTTCCTAATATTTTAAAATATGAAGTTGGAAATCCAAATCAAACCGTAAACGGAAGCGAAGACATTCAGCGGGGCCCACACCACAATCAAAGAAAAAACAAAAACAACCGCCACATCAGCGTTCTCCAGACGCCACATATGAAGTCCCATCTGTCAAAATCAAAATCATTGAAGACCCTTCACCAATCCCATCTGTCAACAATTCCAACTTTAGTAATGATTCTGGTTCTCCACAAATTCAAGAACCAAAAAACAAAACCAATTTAGACATATCACTTCCCGAATTGAAACTCTCATCTTCCACAAATCAAGAAAACATGTCTGAGTTTGCTATTCACATTCAAGAAGATCGAGCAGATGAAGGGGGTAAAAATGGAAATGGGGAAAGAAAAGTTGATGAGAAAGAAGTTCTTAGGGTTAGTCCTAGAATTGGAGCGAAAAGGAGGAAATCTGGTGCTGTTAAGCGGTTTATGCAAGATTCAAAGTTGGTTGCTCATAATGATGTTGTGGAAGATGAGGTAAAAGACGTTTGTGCCCTTGGGGATGGTTTGGGTGCTAATGAGATTGTGGGTATTTCTGGAAATTTGAATGTTGTTACCAAGATTTTGAAGCCTGTGAATTATTCGACTTCTATACTTAATGGCATTGAGGATGTTTCTGTGTCCTTTTTGGTCTTAAGGTTTGTGGATTTTTTTTCTCTCCCTCTTTATAAGCCCTTTTGTTAAGAGACTGTGTCTTGTACTGTGTTTGACATGCGTTGGACTGAGATTTATGTTAGTAGGACAAGAGTCATAATTTTTTTCCTACCCAAAAAGGTGGGACATGAGTTGCTTCTCTTATTTTGTACAAAAGACATGATTGCCCTTCTCTTTCTCATCATTGAACGTTTCCCTAGATCTTTTTTTTTCATCCTAAAATGTAGGGATTGTCTGTAAAAAAGACATGATTGCCCTTTTTGTCCTTATCATTGAACATTTCCCTAGAAAAAATTTTCTAGTCTTTTCATTGTACTTTTTACCCCAACTAAAAAGATGGGACATGACTTGCCCCTTTCTTGTCCGTGGAAAAGACATGATTGCCCTTCTTGTCCTCATCACGAACATTTCCCAAGAAAAGTTTTCGAGTCCTTTTCATGTAAAATTTTTGTCCCACCCAAGAAGGTGGGACATGACGTGTTGTTGTCTTGTCTGTGCAAAAAGACATGATTGCCCTTGTTGTCTTCATCATTAAACAATTCCCCAGAAACCTCTGTATCTGATTTCCATATCACATGATACTTTTTGAGGGATCCAGTATAACCATTTATTCACCAAAAATGTTTATATAAATAATTAACAATCAAAAATTCTTTTAAGGAATTTTTATAACCATTTATTCACCAAAAACATTAATGGTGTAAACTTATATAAACAGGTCAGATGGAGAAGAGGTTGTTGTGGATAATAAGTACCTCAAGGAACACAATCCACTTCTGGTAAATTTCTTTTCTTGTTGTGGATAAGTTTCATATTAAATGACAAAAATACCCACATTATAAATATATACCGAAATAAATATATGTTTAAATGTAACAAAATAGCAACATACTTTTTTTTTTGTTTATTATAAAATCCTACTTTCATTTCTTCCAAATACATTACGAATCTTTACTATTATAATTATTAGATTTTTCAACATACAATGTTGAAAAAAATGGCATAATTTGGTAAATTTTCTAATGTGCAATTTTATATTACGAAAAAAAATGGAAGTACAATGTTTTAATGAAAATAAACAAATAAATTAAAGTATGTTGCTATTTGTTACATTTAAACCTAAGTAAAAAAAATCAATTATATACATTTACAATAAATAAAACAGAAAAGTCTCATTATTTTGGGAATTTTTTTGATAAAGTTCTAAATGTTTTTTTTAACAGTAAAGTCATTATTTTGGGAAAATCACATAATCTATCATTTCCTGTTAAAATTAAAAAAAAAAGATTATTTCGTTAATTTGGGCAAAATGTTAAATAATCGAGATTTTTCTGTTAAAAAAAAATAGGACTGTATAAAATTTTTTCCCAAAATAATGGGGTTTTTTTGTATAAAACCCTAAATAAAATTTATTTATTCATTATACTAATTGAACATAATAATTATTAATTCCATTGTTCGTTTATTTTTATTTATTAATTAATAATTATTTATAAATGATATAATAACAGTTGATCAACTACTACGAGCAACATCTTCGATACAACAGCCCCTCTGAATGACTGGATTGTGATTGCGTCAGCAGACCTTTTTCATTTTCTTAATTTGAAGTTATTTTATTTTGTAGCCAAGGAGCTTCTAACAAAACAGAATAGACAAATTCTAGCCTTTCTTAGGATAATTTGTGCAGTAATTAACCTGAAAAATATATATATTGTCTCTTAGTAATTACATTTTTCGTAATTTTGAGTTATAACATTCCACGTTTTCAGCTTGTTTGTGTTCAGATGAATTTGATTATTGTGTTGTGTTTTCTCTCGTAAAAATCAGTTGTGTATATATCTTAACAAAATATGGCATGATATCCAATAAAGATATGTTTTTTGTGTTTGAAAAATTATCACTAGAGATGATGTTAATTTGAGTTCAATTTATATTGAAAAATTATTTGACTTCAATTTGATGAATGTAATGTTGCAACAAATCAATTTATATAGAAAAATTATTTGAGAAATAGTCCGTTGGATTATCACTACAGATGATGTTAATTTGAGTTTAAAATGGTTTTGAATTACATAGGATTTTGCGAGAGCAAAGAAATAAAACTTAGAATTCGTTTGATTGATTTATATATTATAGTTTGTTTTAGAGCTTGAGATTTCATCTAAAAACTATTTATTAAGTTAATGACTTCTTGAAAAATCAATAAGGTTGTTTTTGGCGTGCCACCGTTAGTTAATAAGTTCATTTATTTTTCAAGTTTTTTTAAAATGTCATGTTTGATAAATCAAAAAGTAGCTGATAAACTAGTTTTATAAAAAGTTATTTAGATTAGTTTTTCAGGAGTTTTTAGAATATACCATTATTTAATTATAATAAACATATTCTTTTAAATGTCCATTTATGTCATTTTATGTCTTTCAGTTAGTTTTTTTAAACGTTATTTTTTCTTAGCTAGTTTATAAGCTTATAGCTATCATTTTAGCCACCAGTTGACTTTTCAACTATCAATTATTTTTTCAGCTACCAGTTAGTTTTTCATCTAGTCTGTCAAATATAACGTAAGTTTTAAAAATGTTTGGCGAAGGGAAAAAAACATTTTAAAACGACTTCTATTTAAGCCTTTGAAAATAAGTTTTTAAAAAGCCAGGATTTGTAATTTTTGCAAACTTCTTTTGACTCATTGACTTATTAACTTTGAAAATGATCATTTTACGTATATAAGCTAACCAAACATTTTTTTTAACTTATTAACTTATTGATTTTTCCGACCACAAAGATAATACAAATACTTTTTAAAAAAATAAATAAATTAATAAGTCCTTGCCAAAAGTCCTTTTAGATTGTAAAAAGAAATCCCAAATAGCCCCTTAGTAAGTTGTTGGTTAAGACTCTTAAAATTGTTTAAAGTTAATTATAATGAACAAAAATGAGAGTAGGTTATTATTTGATGAAATTGTTTTGAATAATTTATTATGTTGTTGCTATAATCAAGTCAACAGTGAAATAAGTAAACAAGATACATTTTTATCATTTATATATATATATATATATATATATATATATATATATATATATA